AAACGGGCGCTTGGACGGGAACAAGAAGACCGATTCTTACGGTATCGGTTTGGACGGCTATCGTAACACCGATTGTTTACGGCAACTCGTTTGCAGACATTCTCGCGTACCTGACCAGGAGTACTCGCAAAAATACCAAACATTCATCATCATGTCGCAATAAATCAACTGTATCAAGTGTTTAGAATCTTGGGTATTCATACGTGCATATTACTTATCAAAGTCGATAACATTGAGCAATTTCGTTGTTCCATATCACGCCCTGACGCCGTAGAATGAGACCACTCTTGATGCCCTATTTTTCCTAAAAAGCAAGTTGGTAAAACCTGATATATGTAGACGTTCGAAATCAGACCTCGTGCTCTTCTTCAACATCGATTGTTTTTTGTGTTGGGGATAATAAGCGTCATCGCATCATATCCGGCTAAAGCTCTGCTAGAAATGCTACTCCTAGAGCTTGCTTATCAACATTCAGCACCATTGTTTGTGGCTTGCGGCTGGTGCATGTGAATGTGAATATCTTCAGATACCATCGACCACGCTAACTGACTACCAATTAGTGACCGCCAGTCAAAACATGGGGAGAAAAAAACTACGCGCACGTATGTTTTCACTCAGGGCGTTTACCATCACTCAACACTAAAACCGGAACAGGGAACGGGGAATAGGGGAATCAGAATTTCCTGTTTCCTATTCCATGACGTGGTGTCATAACCACGCCATATGCAGCAACAGCATTCAGATATGGAACACAGAGCATTGCAGAGCGTGCATGCGGTCCGCAAGCCGTCGGAGGCAACAAACACAACCACAAGAGGCGGGATGGGTTGTGGTGTAGATATTGATCGAAGCTCTTACAGCACGCATCCTCTGTTGGAGCAGGGGGTACTCGCTGCGCAGTCTGCACCCTCGAGAGTACTTTGGCAGGGTTGTATATTTACAACGGCAGGTTGCCATCTGCTCTACCACCTCTATCTTCCTCAAAACAACGACGGCTGCAGAGCATATCGTGGCCGTGGTTTTCCACGCGAGACACGCGATGATGGTAGGAATGCCTAAATCACTTGAACCGGTAGGAGGCAGCAATTTGTGGCAACGACATATACCCGACTTGATCACACGCATCCCACCACATCCTGAATCGCCACAGAGAAGCCCGTCTTCAACGTTCCACATGGGTGAATTGGGCAGTTTGCTAGAACGAGTTAATGAAAGCCTTTGAAATGGAAGTGCTGCGCGATCACCAAAAAGGTGGAACCAAAGGGGGGCCGCCATAGGTACTAGGAACGTTATTGCGTGTGGTCTGCCAATCAGAGGATTTCGAGTTCCCTGTTCCCACTGTTTCCATAAGGATCAGGAGAGAGACAGTAGTACACGCATTGACAACCGGCCTCACAGTGTCTGTCGAAACAAAATACATCCGTAAATGCTGTGTAAAAGATACCCTCGTTTGAAGGAGTTCAGAATTCGGGAAAGGGCGACGCCCAGAATGGCAGCTGAAGCATCTCCAAAGCTGTTGCGAGAATTCCCAGCTCAATGCACGCCTACTTTCGAACTCGCGCGAGCGTGTGTGTGTTTTTTTATTGTTAGCATCGACCGTGTGTGTGTTTGTGTGTGTCTGTGCGTATTCATATCATCATCGACCGCGTTAGCTAGCTGATCGATGAAAACAACTCAAACAACATATTCGCCTGATTGAGAGCGAAGTATCTGATTGAGAGCGAGAGCCAAAAAAATTGAAATTTCGGGTCCAGACGCCTCTTGCCATTTCTTGGCAAGTAGGGGACGGGCTATTCCAAGAAGCGGTGCAAATTGAAGGTCTCATCAGCAGCTTCGCGAGCATATGCGTGTCATCGTCATCGGATGCTGCAGCGAGGAGCTAGACAAGTTGCTAGATTTGCCCAGATTGGCTATTTCTGCTCAAACTGTTTCAGGGCGGTATCGCGTCGGGCGGTGGGCTCTGCTGTAGCTTCTGCTCCCCGCTGTAGCTCCACAACGAGAGACTCCCACAGGATGACCAGGGTAGCGGCTTGAAGCTACGGGCTAGCCCTTCAATTCAAGCTACACAGCAAGCTCCACCTCTCAGTGGTAGTCCGGCTACAGCGTATCGCGCAATCTCGCTCTCAATCAGATGCTACGCTCTCAATCAGGCGAATATGTTGTTCTCAGTGAATAATGGGATCAAAACGCGAACGAACACGCTTTCAACCAAACAAAGCGTTCTACCGACAGGGAGGGGTAGGGGGCGGCGTTGGACAGGCGTGTTCTGCTCCAGAAATACAACGAGAAAATTCAATACTACCAGGCAGCAGCGTTGTTGCATAATCTCGTTCTGCCATGCTAGCATCATGGCCCTGTGCGTGGTTGCGTTCTCTCCGACTTCGCCTTGCGCTATGGAGATCGCCCCCACTAGCTTCAGCACCGTTTTCCGCGCATCTCTTTTCGAGCCCTCTCTACTACCGCCGTTACGTTGAAGATCTGAAGAATGAAAGTATTTTTTTCCACACCGTCACATTCGTGCGTGTGTTTGGTATCAAGTATGTCCCGCGTGCCAGGTAGATGTTCGGATATGCTTAACAGCAGTAGCAGTAGCGCTGCTCCGGCTCTCGCATACGTGTGTCAACCAACAGGCATGTTGAAATCTACGGGTCCGATACTTATCAGTCCAACACCAATGACCATCAGATATCATATGTGCGATCCCACGTGCACGTCACTGCTCACAAACAATTGGGTAAATAGGGTCCGGTCCATCAAGCAGACGGATGATGTCGCCCTCATATTCATCGATTTACCCTACAGGTTATCGTCGGGCCGAGATGAACGGGTGGAACAGACGACCAATTGCCCAATGTAAACATGCGTGCAGCTCACGTGCTCACGTAGACCGGTGTGTTCGCTAGAGAACCTATCATAGAAATAGCTTGCTCCATTTGAAGGGTTAAGCGCATTCCTTGGCGTGGATTCCTCTCAAAAACCCCATTGTATGGATGCCCTCTACTCTGGGTGAGCGGAGAGTCCGAGGTTGTGGTGGCTATGTCCTGCCACCGGAGGTTGGCTATTTCCTTTGGTGCAATGTGGCGAGGAATGCCAAGCGTGACCGAGCGAACTCAGTCAAGCTAGGGTGGTGCGGAGAGTGTGGGTGAGCCTTCGTGGACTCATTTCCCCATCCTCCAAAGATTCATCAACTATTCGCAGCCGTTGGGAATCTGTAGGGTCATGACCCCTTGGGACCAACAGTGATCTATTATCACATATCCCTTGGATCTGACTCTTTATGTACGTGTGTTTGTGCTTCCTGAATCTCCATATCCTGACCTCCACATAGCCCCCCTTTTTCTTCGCCGAAAGCTCAGCTTGCTGAAGTTGGGTTTTGGCGTACATTCATGTGTGAATGTTAAGTTGTAGTGGAGCAGGTATGGACGTATCATGGATGCCAACACAGCTTTTCAAAAATGAAATCCCTCCCTCACTATCCGAAGACAGCTGACAGTGCCGTGTGGACTACACACGTGTTGGAAGCAACACCGTACGGATTTAATATCTCCAAGGCTCGTACAAGCTACCAGGTATTGATGTCAATCAATGATGTGTCAAAGCTTATTCTTGTTAAGTATCAAGAATTTGTACTTTGTGCGGGTTCTGGTTCGCGTAACCATACCGCTGGGTGTAAGCAATCGTGTTGCTTATTGAGTACGATAGGCATACGGTGTTCGACAGTCTTAAGACTGTTTCCGTGACTCATGATTAGTGTCATCGAGTTGCGACCCTCAATTCCACTTGAGACCGGTTAACTTGACATTTCCTCGCCAGCATTTGACCCAACCAAATGCTGGATAGCAACCTTATTGTTTGGATGCTATTCCTTTCACCGTTTAGATACTTTGGAAATGTATCTTTTGTTTGCCTTCGGACTTCGTTTAGTTTTCCGCTGAGTACTTTTCTTATTCACGCATTTTGTTGGCTTGGGACACAACGTGTCTGGCCTTGCTTTGTGCTTTGCGCGTTTGTTTGTACTCGGATCCCTACCTTCGTCGCGTTTTCGTTTCGCTTTTTTCTGCGGTACTTCGGACGATTTCTTGGCGGGCGCGATGTCCAGATCATGTTTTGATCGGTATGCGGAAATCATTTCGTGGCATTGCGGCACTTCGTCGGCACGATACATCAGATCTGATTCAGGACCGTATCCTTTCAGTCTTAGACGATATCGATAGTTGTGCGGACCTTTTCGGCCTTGACCGCTTCGATGCCCTACCACTTTCAATACGACGTATCTTTCATTTTACGGTTGATTCCGTCGTTTGTTTGCTGTCAGGGCAGGTAAGGGAATTTGTTTCCCAAGGAAATATTCCGCCAGTTTTCCAAACTGTGGTGCTGGTGGTTTTTTCCTTTCATGGTACTGTTTTAGATGGGCAAGATGCACGGATATTTCTCGTGTTTCATCGACTCGCTTCACCCTATACACAACTGGCGACAGTTGTGAGCAGATGGTATATGGTCCTCGCCACGGTAAGAACAGCTTCGGATTTGGTCCATCTATATCCTGGTGTGGTCGGTATACGAGTACCTGTTGACCAGGTTTAAAGACGGGGTACTGCGGTAACTTTTCGTTTTTCGCAGCTTGCTTCTCTGCACGTTCCGTGAGGTTTCTTCGCGCTAGTTCGAAAGCAATTTGTAGATTTTCTCGTGTTTCTTGAGCAAAACTCTCGTTATCTGCAGTTGATCCTACATGTGGGATTCCGAGAATTACATCTACCGGTAACCGTGCTTGGCGACCAAACATCAAGAAGTACGGTGTCTCATGCATGGTTTTATTAACACGAAACACATCTGTGCAACTTTGCGCCACCGGGAAAAAAAGTCAAAGTGAAACTTCTTGCAGTTCGCATCCCTACGTTGACCTGTGACCGCGGTGAACTCAGATCCTTCCGGCCCTCCCTCCCGCTTGAAGCTCAAAATTAAAATTATTAAAAACACTTTCATATAAACTGCAAGGAAGCTCACCTCTTCTGCCGTCCGGTACAGCGCCTGAACGCATGGACATCAATGAATTTCATCCCAGAAGTCTTGCACGTCCACAGGTCGACCCCGTAGTGAACGATGGGCAGAGGTGCCTTCTTGATCTCTTCCGACATGTTCCCCATCACAGCCTGCAGGCCGAGGAGAACCGAACGACGCAAGGCAACAAATGATGTCGGTTAGTCTCTCAAAAGACCTGAACGAGCGTTCGGGAAAACAAAGACCAATACAAACTATTTGCTGTCATTTTCGGCAAGAGTGGTGTTTTTATGTTTTTGTATTGATGTGTGTATATAACCGTGTCCTAAAATCCGGAAAAATCCTTATCACTTGAGTTTGTAGAATTCATATAACAATAGAAAAAAAGTGCGTAAAAACGTGTGTTTCTAATGCTTTTTTTTGCGGGTGAACACTCACGTTGCAATCTCGAGTAGAAAACCACATGATGAAGGATAATGTCTGTTGCATGTACCTTGTATTACATTCCTCTCACGTTTGACGAATTATATGCCAAAAAACATTGCTGACCGTCTTGGTGGCGACGAACATCTCCACCAGGAGGTACTTGATGCGGCTGCTAGGAAGCGCCGGATACGGTGTGTCATCGGCGGTCTCCAAGCCCATCACATCCTTTCAC